GGAGAGAGAGAGGGAGAGAGAGAGAGAGAGAGAGAGAGAGAGAGAGAGAGAGAGAGAGAGAGAGAAAGGGAGAGAGAAAGGGAGAGAGAGTGAGAGAGAGGGGGGGAGGGGGGGAGAGATAGAGAGAAAGGGAGAGAGAGAGAGAGGGAGGGGGAGAGAGATAGAGAAGGAGAGAGAGAGAGAGAGAGAGGGAGGGAGAAAGAAAGAGAGAGAGAGAGAGAAAGCTGATAGAGAGATAGAGGAAGAGAAATAGAGAGAGAGACAGACAGAAAGAGAGAGAGGGAGAGAGAATTTTTTTATCAAATAATTCTCCTGGGGGCTGGGAGGGGGGGGTAGAGGGAATGCTATGAAAGAATCTGGATTTTCAGAGTGACATCTCCCTTACCCCCCCCCCTCCCCCCCCACCTGTTCATTTTTTTTCAAGTATTATCGGATTAAATTTTTTTGTTGAATAGAATATTTCATAAAATCATATTCATCGTCCCTCCCTGATGATGATAATAATGATAATGATGAAGATGGTGATGATGATGATGATAATAATGATAATGATGATAATATGATGAAGATGATGATGATAATGATAATGACAACGATAATGATGATGATATGATGAAGATGGTGATGATGATGATAATGAAAATGATAACAATGATAATGATGATGATATGATGAAGATGGTGATGATGATGATAATGAAAATGATGACAATGATAATGATGATGATATGATGAAGATGGTGATGATGATGATGATAATGATAATGATGATGATAATGATAATGATGGTGATGATAATGAAGATGATGATGATGAGGAGGAGGAGGAGGAAGATAACAGTGATTATATATTTAATAAATAACAGCAAAAACAATAACATTAACAATAACAATAATAATGACATAAAAAGATAATTAAAAAATACTTTTCCACACAACCGTTCGTTCCGCAAAGAAGACTCACTGGGCTGGTCTGTTTGGAAAGAGTTAAATCACAAACCCAATGTTTCGTCACTGAATCAGCTGTTTATTGTTATTGTAGTTTTTATTGTTATTATTATTGTTGTTGTTGTTAGTAGTAGTAGTAATAGTAGTAATGTTGTTGTTTTTGTTTTTGTTTTTTGTTAGTAGTAGTGGTAGTAGGATTATTGTTGTTGTTGTTGCTTTTGTTTTTTGTTAGTAGTAGTGGTAGTAGTAATATTGTTGTTGTAAATGATAAAGATAAAAATAATAGAGAAAACAGTAATAAAAATAATAGTGAAAACAGTAATAAAAATAATAGTGAAAACAGTAATAAAAGATAATAAAGAGATGAATCAGGAAGTAAATTGATGAATATAAAGATTAATCACTCAGAAATGGTATAGAAGGAAGGAATAGGCAGAGATCATAAAAGCGAAAAGGGATGGAAGCGTTTACGGAAGAAGAGAAAGAGGAGACTAAGAGGAAAAAGAAAATAGCTAGATAAATAAGGTATATGAAGGGGAAAGTGGACGAAAAAAAAATAAGTTAAATAGGTTAAAGCAATATTTAAAATAGGTTTGAGAAATAAAGAAAAATATGAATATGGTAAAATAGGTAAGCGTAGACGAAGAATTAAAAAAATGAAAAATTGGAAAAGACACGGAGAATTAATTAATCTTTTTTCTTTCCTTTTTTTTCTTTTCTTTTTTTAGAAAGGGGGACAGAGATTAAATTGGTTGAGTCTTTTTTTCTCTTTTTTTCTCTTTGATGAAAGGGGGGGGGGAGGGAAAGGCTATTAAATTGGTTAACTCATAAGGTGAGATTATGAGTATTTAGCAGAGGGAAGGAAGGAAAGTTGATTTTTTTTAATAGGCTTAAGGTTATAATGGAAATATGTTTTAGTAAAAGCAAGGAAGGGAACAGAGTATTCTTGTAAGTTAGTGTTTGTGTATACGTCCATGTGCGTAAGTATGTCTGTGTATTGGGTGTTTCTCTTTGCATGCGTGTATGTGTATATTGATGTGTATTTTGTATTTTCATTATATTTTTGTGCGTCAGTGTGTATGTGTGTGTATGTGTGTGTGTGTTTATGTGTGTGTGTGTGTGTGTGTGTGTTTAGATGTGAATGTGTTATTATTCGGGTTTGCATGCATGTATATGTGTATATTTTCGTGTGCACTCAAACATTTAAACCCGTATGTTATAAACTATACTTCAAACACACAAACCAAGGCCTAAATTTGGTACTGCCAACCCCGTTAAGATTTGGGCCTAACATCCCGTCAGGGTTCAAATTTCGACCCTAAACCCCTCTAGGAAAAAGTTAAACCTCACATTAAGCTCTAAAATATCGACATAAGCTCTAAAAACTCAACCTTAAACCCACACACCAAGCTCTAAGCTCAAAAAAAAAACTCGACATTAAAACCCACACACCAAGCTCTTAAAACTTGACCTTAAACCGACATCAAGCTCTAAAAATTCAACATAAGCTCTAAAAACTCGACCTCAAACCCACACACCAAGCTCTAACCTCTC